TGTCACCCTCTTTTATATATCAGACTACCCTATATCTAGTAAATACTAGAGCATTCGCCAAAGTACAGGATAGTTCTAGAAAGTAGAGGGCGTGAAAATAGTCACGTGATCTCGATGACGCAACAATATCATTTGGTAATAGACTGTAACTTACAAGACAACAAATATTTTAGAATACTTCAATTATTGCGTTATTTTTAGAGTAGTTTGATTGTTACGTTATTTTTTCAAATATACAGACTCCCCAACAAAATAGCAAGTTTTTTGTTTTTTTTAACTTTCGTTTGATTACTGAAAGTAAATACAGCTCTCACAACACGGGAGTATCACACTTCTAACGAGTAATAACAATCACAAATCTTGATAATTTACCTGGGGTTCTACGTCAAGAATGGCCATTTTCCCCTCTAGTTGAATACTCCGAATTGTTTCTAGCTTGGTTCCATACATAGCTTCTCCGAACGTTCCATACTCCAAATACTCGTTGGCTGCTATGTCCGCCATCATCTCGTCGTGAGACACGAAGAAATAAGTTTTTCCATTTTCTTCTGACTTTCTGGGCAGTCTTGTTGTGTCTTTTTTTGGGTGGATAAATGGACTAGGTTATCAGGAAGAACAGTAACTATCAACTCGACCAAAAGAAAATTATTCTAGTTTAAAAGGAGTGAATACATTTTGATACTTAGCTTATACTAAACTCAAAAGTTTAGTAGTTATATGCGTTAACCTTAACAATATGTGAATAAGATCATCAAACCCTACGCTACAACAATACAAGGGGATACAACGTTTTTAATGAGATGTTATTATTAAACATACCACATATATGTGTAGGAATACAAAATGTTAAGAAATTATGTTAAAATAATTGTCCTCATCCGTTTCTAGGACAGAAGACTTGAACATCTGCTACAAGAACTTCCTTAGAACAATAGCAGTAATGTTGCAGCAGGCATAGAATTAGAATACCATTACGGGCGTAACAAAAACACATTCAGAAGTAAATGTTAATATTGCCGAACAAAACTGATGCAACGTTGATCCGTTATAAGTAAGAAGTTACAGCACGATAATTCAAATATACGGCAAGAGAGACATCTATGAGATATTAAGCGTTCAAATACTCACGAGGTACTGGATAGGCGTACTTCTCAGGATGTTTACTTATGAGCGTATTTTTTATATGTCGCCTTCCAACACCATGGGCACCTGTAAAGAATCAGAGCAACAAGCATCTTAACTTCTAAACACACAAATTACAATTTGTTCGTCAACCTACATTTTTAAATACCTGTATTTGAAATTAGCAATTCAATACCTTCAGTTATAAATGGCATCCATTTTGTCAACTGTGACGGATTTGCTATCATATATCGATGTTTGTTTAAGTTGAATTTATATTTAGAAATATGCATAATTTACATTGTTAAATCTGTATTGCGAAATTCCTGCACATTCTCTAAAATTATAGAAAATTCTCGAGTGTAAGAATCAACAATATATGTGTGTACGTAAACACTGGTGTATCGCTTATATTGTTGCGTAAGATGAAATTGCGAAAAACT